ATTCTTGCGGGGCACTTTTTCCCGTTTTCGCATCTTTCCTTGTCAAAAATTTGGGTAGAAAGTCCCAGACCCCCCTTAGTGCTCTAAAGCTATACGAAAAATTGATCATTCACTCCCCCCCTAGTTCTCCGAAAATCCAATTTTTGGGGGGAACCAAATCTCTCCAAACATAAAAAATTTTAATTTTTTTTGGGTCCCTGGTCATTTTCGACTACGGGGAAAAGGGAACGGGCAGACACTGCTCCCGGGGGGCCGGGTCAGCATTAAAAAAATTCCCCAAACCAAATTTTCCTATCGAGGTTTTCCATTTCGGACAAATTTTGCCCCCAATAGCTACCCACCTTCCCCCCCCGTTGGCAGCAACGGGGTAAACCCTCGCTCTTTAACAAACTTCATTCTTTTAAACCGACATAGGTTACGGGCCGTCTTCTTGTCATAGGGCCCGATTGGGGAACCACCTCTTCCCCCCCTTTCCCGCATTGGCCCCCACCCCTTTTTTACTCATGGGTATCTAAAGGAGGGGCCCCCCCTGTTCCTCACTTTTACAGTGTCAAGTTCCAGAAAACGATTACCCCCACTTTCTGTTAACTGCCCTCTCAAATAAACCCGACACGCAAAATTTTTAACCTCCAACGCGTCTTCATTCTACTGCTCTCTCTTTCCCTTTCCCCTTTCTTGTTTATGGACCCCCTCCTTTAATCCTGACTCTCTCTTAAATTCTTGACAACGACTGAAATTTAACCCCCCACAAACCCCTGATATACTTTCCGCACTCCCCTTTACCCCTTTTTTTGTTCAGTCCTTGCGCCCTTTTCCCCCTTTTAAACCCCCACTACCCCCCGCTGTCAACCCTAACCCAAATTTCTCCTCCAACTCCCTTTTGCCCCCCTGAAAGCCTCGCTTCCCCTTTCCGCCCTTTCACGCTGTATAGTCCCTTTTGGCTTAGCGCTTCTTTTGGGTTTAAAAATAAAAATAAAAAATACTCGCTGCAGGGATTTAAACCCAAGGGTTTACACCCATATAAGAGTGTTTGGGACCACTAAATTTTTTCCCTCATTCCCTTTTTTGCCTCCATAAATAAATAACTTTTTTCTCCACATATACCTCAAGCACCCCCACCCTTTTTTCCTTTGTCAAATTTTTATGGTTAACCTCATCCTTCGTACATCCATCTGCTGACACATCAACTCCCAAATATCTGAAAACATTCACTTTTTCCATAATACTCCTCTCCAATTTGATATCCAATTTTTCTTTAAATCATTTGATACCCTCATCACCTTACTCTTCTCTATGTTTACTTTCAACTTTCTACCTTTACACACTCTCCCAAACTCGTCCACTAACCCTTGCAAATTTTCTTTAGAATCTCCCATAAGCACAGTATCATCAGCAAAAAGTAACTGTGTCAGTTCCCAATTTGTAGTTGATTCCCAATATATTAATCCCACCCCTCTCCCAAACACCCTAGCATTTACTTCTTTTACAACCCCCTCTATAAATATATTAAACAATCATGGTGACATTACACATCCCTGTCTAAGACCCACCTTTACCCTAACCTGAGCCTCACTATCCACATAAAAACTCTTTACAGCATTTAGTAACTTACTACCTATTCCATATACAGTACTTGCAACATCTGCCACATTGCTCCCCTATCCACTCTGTCATATACCTTTTCTAAATCCATAAATGCAATGAAAACTTCCCTACCTTTATCTAAATACTGTTCACATATATGCTTCAATGTAAACACTTGATCTACACATCCCCTACCCACTCTAAAACCTCCTTGCTCATCCGCAATCCTACATTCTGTCTTGTCTCTAATTCTTTCAATAATAACCTTACCATACAATTTTCCTGGTATACTCAGTAAACTTATTCCTCTATAATTTTTACAGTCTCTTTTGTCCCCCTTCCCTTTATATAAAGGAATTATACATGCTCTCTGCCAATCCCTAGGTACCTTCCTTTCTCTCATACATTTATTAAACAAAAATACCAACCACTCCAACACTATATAACCCCCCTGCTTTTAACTTTTCTGTCATGATCCCGTCAGTTCCAGCTGCTTTACCCCCTTTCATTCTACGTAATGCCTCACACACCTCCCCCACACTCACATCCTGCTCTTCTTCACTCCTAAAAGATGGTATACCTCCCTGGCCAGTGCATGAAATTACTGCCTCCCTTTCTTCGTTGACATTTAAAAGTTCCTCAAAATATTCCCGCCATCTACCCAATACCTCCATCTCCCCATCTACTAACTCCCCTACTCTGTTTTTAACTGACAAATCCATTTGTTCCCCAGACTTTCTTAACTTGTTTATCTCACTCCAAAATTTTTTTATAATTTTCATCAAAATTTCTTGACAGTGCCTCTCCCACTCTATCATCTGCTCTCCTTTTACATTCTCTCACCACACAGTTCACTTCTCTTTTACTCTCCATATACTCTGCTCTTCTTATAACACTTCTGCTTTGTAAAAACCTCTCATAAGCTACCTTTTTTTCTTTTATCACACCTTTTACTTCATCATTCCACCAATCACTTCTCTTTCCTCCTGCACCCACCCTCCTATAGCCACAAACTTCTGCCCCACATTCTAATACTGCATTTTTAAAACTATTCCAACCCTCTTCAACCCCCTTCCCCACACTACTCATACTTGCACTAGCCCACGTTTCTGCCAGTAGTTGCTTATATCTCACCCGAACTTCTTCCTCCCTTAGTTTATACGCTCTCACCTCTCTTACTTGTTGCCATTTTCCTTTTGTCCCATCTACCTCTTACTTTAACTGTAGCTGCAAAATCCTCTTTTTCATAAAATATGTGTAACTTATTACCAAACCTCTTTCTACACATAGCTCAATTAAAGGCTCCCCATTTTCATTTACCCCAGGCACCCCAAATTTACCTACTACTCCCTCCACAACATTTTTTACCCACTTTAACATTGAAATCCCCAACCACAAGTATTCTCACACTTGGTTCAAAACTCCCCACACACACTCAACAATTTCCAAAACCTCTCTCTCTCCTCTACACTTCTCTCTTCTCCAATTGCATATATGCTTACTATAACCCACTTTTCACATCCAACCTTTATTTTACTCCACATAATCCTTGAATTAATACATTTATACTTCCTCTTTTCCTGCCATAACTTATCCATCAACATTATTGCTACTCCTTCTTTAGCTCTAACTGTTTGAAACCCCTGACCTAATCCCATGTACTTCTCTCCACTGAAGCTCTCCCACCCCCTTCAGCTTTGTTTCACTTAAAGCCAGGACATCCAGCTTCTTCTCATTCATAGCATCCACAATCATCTCTTTCTTATCATTCGCATAACATCCGTGCACATTCAGACATCCCACTTTGACAATTTTCTTCTTTTTAGTAATCTTTACAGGAAAAGGGGTCACTAGCCCATTGTTCCCAGCATTTTAGTTGACTTTTACAACACACATGGCTTACGGAGAAAAGATTCTTATTCCACTTCCCCATGGATATAAAAGGAAAAGTAATAAGACCAAGAACTATTAAGATAAAATCAAAGATAACTAAGAAGAGTGTGTATAAATAAACGTGTACATGTATGTGTAGTGTGACCTAAGTGTACCTGGAGTTTACCTGGAGAGAGTTTCGGGGGTCAACGCCCCCGCGGCCCGGTCTGTGACCAGGCCTGTGTAGGTAGAAGTAGAAAGACGTACCTGTAATCTTGCACATTTATGAAACAGACGAAAGACACCAGCAATCCTACCATCATGTAAAACAATTACAGGCTCTCGTTTCACACTTACTTGGCAGGACGGTAGTACCTCCCTGGGTGGCTGCTGTCTACACACTTATACCATCTCTCTAATATTTTATTTATTTATTTTTAAACCAGCTGTATCCCACCAAGGCAGGTGACCTAAATTTAAAAAGAAAAACAAAAGTTTTTTTTTTTTAAATTTAGTAATTTATACAGGAGAAGGGGTTACTAGCCCCTTGGTTCCAGCATTTTAGTTGCCTCTTATGACATGCATGGTTTATGGAGGAAGAATTCTATTTTGCTTCCCTATCTACCTGGAGGGTATTCTGGGGATCAACGCCCCCGTGGCCTGGTCCACAACCAAGCCTCCCGGGTGGATCAGGGCCCGATCAACTAGTCTGTTACTGCTGGCCACACGTAGTCCAGCGTACAAACCACAGCCCGGCTGATCAGGCACAGACTTTAAGTATCTGTCCAGTTCTCTCTTGAAGGCAGCCAGGGGCCTATTGGTAATTCCCTTTATGCATGGTGGGAGGCTGTTGAACAGTCTTGGGCCCTGGACACTTATGGTGTTTTCTCTTACTGTACCAATGGTGCTCCTACTTTTCATTGGGGGGTATTTTGCACTGCCTGCCCAGTCTTTTACTTTTGTAGGGAATGATTTCTGTGTTCAGATTTGGGACCATTTCTTCTAGGATTTTTCAAGTGTAGATTCTCTCTCTCTCGCCTGCATTCCAGCAAGTACAAGTCAAGTGCTTCCAAGCGTTCCCAGTAGTTGAGGTGTTTGATAGAACTTATATGTGCAGTAAAGGTTCTCTGTACACTCTCTAGATCTGCAATTTCACCTACTTTGAACAGAGATACCCCTCAAGGAAGGTTCCTTGATGTTGGTGAGGGGCTCTTGATTTAGGGAATTGGATCTGTGCTCCAGTTCCCCGAATTAAGCCTGAATGCCTTCCACATCCCCCCCCCCAGGCGCTGTATAATCCTCCGGGTTTAGCGCTTCCCCCTTGATTATAATAATAATAATAATAATTGAACAGAGATGTTAATGTACAGCAATATTCCAGCCTAGAGAGAACAAGTGATTTGAAAAGGATCGTCATTGGCTTGACATCTCTTGTTTTGAACGTTCTCATTATCCATCCTACCATTTTCTTTGCTGCTGTGATTATGGCAAAATCTCTTCAATTATGTGACATAAAAGGTGACTGTTTTAAATAAATGTACAACTCACATTAAGCATTTATTTGAAAACTTGATAAGTGACCACAATGTTTGGAGCTACTTTGTCTTGAGTTAAGCCAGGACTGGGATGAGGCCTACGAAATACCTCAGGACAAGCCTCTTCCCCATCTCAAGTCCTATGCCTGCCTAAATCAAGACCAACTCAAAAAGAATGAAGTTAACAACTGTTGGCCAGAGAGTAATCTAGGAATAGGTGCTAAGGCATTATCATATTTTTCATCCACTTATGACCATGAGGGAAACAAACACAGTGAGTGCTGATTTCTGATATAATTAGGGTAACCATATGCTGATCTTCCTAACTAAATCATATAAGAGACCCCATTTATGACTTGAAATCATCAGTCTCACCACTAATTTTGTGGGTGTGTCAAATGAATTAAGTGGAAATATAATAGCTATCTTACATTCAACATGCCCATAACTGGATGTTTCATAAGCCACAATAGTAACATTCTACCAGTCTAAGAGCCTGAATATTAAAATGATTACAGTATATAGCTTCTATTGAAATGTTGGTCTCCTATTTCATCCCGTGGCTACAGATTTAGTTATATACCTGACATGTCTTCAGCAGTATTCTTAATAATAAAATAATCAGTGTCATACTAGGATGAAACATGCCACATCACAAGGGGAACGTCACTTAACCTAGAACACCTTGACAGCTCAAATAGGGTGTGCACCTTTACAAATGTGTGTGTGATCATTTATGGACATCTTTCAAAAATCACTTTCATAGAAATTATACTATCAGATTACAGATGGATTTGGCTTTCTTTGACAACACTATAATCTTATTACAACAGAAGGTCACAAACAAAAATTTCTCACTCATAACATTAAAAAAATTATGAAATCCTTGTAGTATCGGTCCTGACTAGATCCTTTGACAACCGATATGTCACTTGCTGTGTTTTCACTGACTTCTCAATAAATTTCCTATTCTTTCTCTAGGACAACATTCTTAAGATGAGAGAAAATATAAGATGGACTAAATATGTAACAAAGCCATCAATTATCTGGCTGAGGAGCTTATCAATGATGAGCATGAAAATATATGAGACCTCTTAATAAAATTCTTTATAGAAGTGTCAGAGGGCTAGTGGAAAAAGTAGGGATTTTGCCGATGATTGTGAAGGAGCGTTGGTGATGGCAGTTTTAATGGTAGGCAGGAAAGCAGGTGGACAAATAAGGAGGACTGAGAGGAATCATACTTTTCCTCTTTCCAAAGTATTCCTTCTCAATCTCCTCCTTAGTATTCTTCATAGACTTCTTCCTTTACTTCCCCATCCTCTAGTGTCCTTCTGATGATCCTGTGAGTGAAAATACTATAATTAAGGTACTGTACTTCAAAATTTAGATATACGTAATTTAAAAATTTTCATTACAAAAACTGATTGAAAAATAAAATGCCCACATTTGAAGAAAGTTTGAACTATGGCTTAAGTAACATTATTATACTGTATTAAAGAAGCCTTGAACATATATGCTGTACTGGCCTAACAAAATGCAGCTTCATTATGCTCTTACTGATTCAGATAAATTTTGTGAAATGTATCTCTAGCACTCTGCATAATCTTGTGAAATGATATTTAATTTGCAGAAACTGGGATGTCCACTACTGCTAAATGACAAAACCAAGCATGAGGAACAGGGAATCTACTTAAATTTTATTATTCAATACATGCATTTCCATACCATCAGGTCATATAACCATCAATTTGCATTTTTGTCCCTTGCCAAGGTTAAGGATAAAACTATCAGTCTATACAAAGAAGGGCTTTCCAGATTATTATATTCATTGGGAAGCATTAAACTTGCAAGCATCATACAGCATTTGGGAATGGAAGGTAATCAGCAATCATATTTGATTGAGGAATGGCAGCTTCACTTCCTTGAATCAAGAATCTTTCAGCATTAAGCACTCCTTTTGAAGAAAATGCCTATAATAAACTTAAGCTTATTATAAAGTTGGTACAGGACAAATTATAATCTCAATTTAGGCAATGTATTATTCCTAGGGGTGGCTAAGCACTTTCCCGTGAATATCATTTTCTTTCTGTTTAATAATTTCATAGACAAAATTTGATAAACTTGTAAAAATTTCTACCATTAAAATTACACTTCAGGACAAACTGGAACGAGTTATGACCCTCGTGGGTTTAGCGCTTAATTTTAATTGTAATAATAATAGTATCCATTTACCTATCTTGTTATTTTGCAGTCAGTCATAATCTGTAATAATAATAGTATCCATTTAGCTATCTTATTTTGTAGTCAATCATAATCTGCTTTTATCTAAGATCATCCCTGAAAACTTTTGAATATTTATCTGAGTTAAACTCTTAAAAAACCTTAGGATTAATTTTGAATAAATGGTGCTTTCCACCTTTTCTCTCATTAACCCTTTGACTGTCGCAACCCCCAATCCAGAGGTGAATCCTGGTGTTGCAAAATTTTGAAAAAAAAAAAAAAATTCTTATGAAATGGTAGAGAATCTTTTCCCGATTGTAAAGACACCAAAAAAACGAAATTTGATGGAAAACTGACGGAATTACGATCTCGCAAAGTTAGCGACCTCGGCGATATTTACAAATCGGCGATTTCGCCCACTTTGAGCCCTATTTTCGGCTAATTCCATTATTTCAGTCAAAGAAACTCATAGCTATTTCGTCAGAACTCCATTTTTTCCATCGATTGAGTACAAGAAAATGCCCATTTACCGATTTCAACTACCCAATAACATGGTCAGAAATTTGCAATTTGGCCAATTTCACGAAAATTAAAAAATATGACAATTTCAAAATAAGGACCAGAATGAACAATGCAGACATTCCTGGCTCTAAAATAACATTTTCTTTGTTCATCAGTCATGTCTCCAGGCCCCTGTGATATTACTCTTGCTTTTTATTTGGAAATTTTATTCAAACAAAAAATAGAAGATTTACTGTTATGCAGACTACTGCAATACTGTAATAATTGTAAAAATTACATCAACCCATTCATGACTGCATATTAGAATGGCTATTTGGACATTTATTGGACAATGACATCATTTGTTTACTTTTGAACATCGGCAAAAATCAAACATTTCCCGTACTTTGTGCTCCATTTCCAGGTTCTTTTTATAGAAAAATTAATCAAAATCACCTCTATTTCTATAATATAGTTTCCATTCTATCAAATGAGACCAAGAAAACGAGAATACAACCACAAATACTATACAAAAATAGACTACAAAGTCGGCATTTTAATTAAAAAAAACTGAGTTTTTTTTTTTCCCCATTATGCACTGCGTGCTCCAGGATTTTTTTTATATGGTGCACACTGACCACACAGACCCATTCTCTCGCATGTGGGCCTACCAGTTTTCTCCTGCCTGATTTGAAGCAGCTAGAATTTATGAGTATACGTACGTCAAACACGGTACCTCGTAAACGTATATATACAGCCGCGACAGTCAAAGGGTTAAAACAGCATATTCAATAAGCATCGCTATCTTATATGCTCTTTCCTTTTTTACCTTGTAGACTAGGTAGTTACTTTCACTTTAATTCTGTTTGGTACCATTAAAGTTGTAGTAAGTCTTATAAAAAATCTAAGAGCCCAAATTTAAGGCAGTAATAAAACCCATAGTATACATTTAAGTGTACTGATGCTGCTCAAGACCTTGTTATTAATTTTATACATATGCAGAACTCTTAATTGCACAAAGCTAATAAAACAAAGTAGTTCCTACTCTACAGCAAAGTTTCCTTTACCGATATTTCTCCAAATACCCTTATGAGAAATATGTGATTCATCCAAATTTTTTCTTTTCCATGCAGAAATATTTTCACATAGGCTATTGTACCATTAGTTATGTACAGTTTGTACAATGCTACCAAAAATATTACTCACATTTACTTCATTCCAATATCTTACTTTTTTTTATCTAATCTTTCATTACTAATTTTTTCATGTTCAACGTTGTTTTAACACTTTGACTGTTTCGGTCGTATACATCCGTCCTACGAGCCAGTGTTTTTGATGTATTTATACTCCAAAATTCTAGTGGCTTCAAATCAAGCAGGAGAAAGTTGGTAGGCCTACATGTGAGATAATGGGTTTGTGTGGTCAGTGTGCGCAGTATAAAAAAACTCCTGCAGCACGCAGTGCATAATGAGAAAAAAAAACTCCAACCATGTTTTTGGATTAAAATGCTAGTTGTATTCTCATTTCCTTGGTCTCATTTGATAGAAGGGAAGACATATTACAGAAATAGAGATGATTTTGATTGGTTTAATGATGAAAAGGACCTTGAAATTGAGCTCAAAGTAGCGGAAATGTTCAATTTTTGCCGATGTTCAAGATCTTTTATTTTTTGTGTGAATAAAAATTCAAAATAGAAAGCAAGAGTAATACTACAAGAGGGGCCTGGAAACGTGACTGGTGAACAGAGAAAAACGTTATTTTAGTGCCAGGAATGTCTGCATTGTTCGTTCTGAACCCTATTTTGAAATTGGTATCTTTTTAATTTGTGTGAAATTGGCCAAATTACCAATTTCTGACCACTTTATTGGGTAGTTAAAATCAGTACATGGGTGGTTTCTTGTACTCACTCGTTAGAACAAATGGAGTTCTAAAGAAATGGCTGAGTTTGGTCGGCTGGAGCAATGGAAATGGCCGAAAATAGGGCTCAAAGTGGGTGAAATCACTGTTGCGTAAACATAGCTGAGATCGCCAACTTCGCGAGAGTGTAACTCCATAAGTTTTTCATCAAATTTTGCAATTTTGGTGCCATTAACATCGGGAAAAGATTCTCCATCATTTCATAAGAAGAAAAATTTTTTCTGAAAATTTTGCAATGCAGAGAGAGACTTTAGGATTTGGGGTCACGATGGTCAAAGTGTTAAGATAATAACCATTAATTTAACCTTCTGACTGTTTCGGTCATATACATACGTCTTACGAGCCACTGTTTTTGATGTATATATGCTCATAAATTCTAGCGGATTCAAATCAAGCAGGAGAAAGCTGGTAGGCCCACATATGAGAGAATGGGTCTGTGTGGTCAGTGTGCACCATATAAAAAAATCCTGCAGCGGGCAGTGCATAATGAGAAAAAAAAAGACCGTTTTTTTTAATTAAAATGCCAACTTAGTGGTCTATTTTTGTATAGTATTTATGGTTGTATTCTTGTTTTCTTGGGCTCATTTGATAGAATGGAAAACATATTATAGAAATAGAGGTGATTTTGATTGGTTTTACTATGAAAAGAACCTGGAAATGGAGCTCAAAGTAGGGGAAATGTTTGATTTTTGCCGATGTTCAAAAGTAAACAAATGATGTCATTTTCTAATAAATGTTCAAGTAGCCATTCTGATATGCAGTCATGAATGGGTTGACATTATTTATACATTACAATATTACAGCCCCTGTGGCTTAGCGCTTCTTTTTTTGATTATAATAATAATAATTACAATATTACAATAGTCTGCATAACAGTAAATCTTCTATTTTTTGTTTGAATGAAAATTCAAAATAGAAAGCAAGAGTAATATCAGAGGGGCCTGGAGATGTGACTGATGAACAAAGAAAATGTTATTTTAGAGCCAGGAATGTCTGCATTGTTCATTCTGGACCCTATTTTGAAATTGTCATATTTTTTAATTTTCGTAAAATTGGCCAAATTGCAAATTTCTGACCACGTTATTGGGTAGTTGAAATTGGTAAATGGGCAGTTTCTTGTACTCAATTGATAGAAAAAATGGAGTTCTAAAGAAATAACTATGAGTTTGGTCAACTGGAACAATGGAATTAGCCGAAAATAGGGCTCAAAGTGGGCGAAATCGCCAATTCGTAAATATCGCCGAGGTCGCTAACTTTGTGAGAGCGTAATTCCATCAGTTTTCCATCGAATTTTGTTCTTTTGGTGTCATTACAATTGGGAAAAGATTCTCTATCATTTCATAAGAATTTTTTTTTTTTTTTTTTTTTTTTTTTCAGAAATTTTGCGACACCAAGAGACACCTCAGGATTTGGGGTTGTGACAGTCAAGGGGTTAATATTTGACTTTTACATATTTATCTTTCATTCATATTTTGCTATAGTGCCATATCTTCCATCAAACATTCCATATTTTATTTGTATTTTTCATTTAGCTCATGTGTTAATTATTATGTTGTTAATAGCCTCTTCACACTTGTAGTTTTTCCATCATTTAACCCTTTGACTGTCGCAAGCTCCTTTCATTCTATGTCGCAAAATTTTTGGGGGAAAAAATATTATTTTTTCTTATGAAATGATAGAGAATCTTTTCTCGATGGTAATGACACCGAAAGTATTAAATTTGGTGGAAAACTCACAGAATTACACTACTGCAAAGTTAGCAGTCTCGACGACATATACGCATTGGCAATTTCGCCGACTTTGAGCCCTGTTTTTGGCCAATTTCGTTGTTCCAGTTGACCAAACTCATACCTATTTCTTTAGAACTCCATTTTTTCTATTAATTGAGTACAAGAAACCGCCCATTTACCGATTTGAACTACCTAATAAAGTGGTCAGAGATTGGCAATTTGGCCAATTTCACGCAAATTAAAAAAGATGCCAATTTCAAAATAGGGTCCAGAATAAACAATGTAGACATTCTTGGCACTAAAATAACATATCTTCTGTTCATTAGTCACATCTCTAGGCCCCTCTTATATTACTACTGCTTTCTATTTTGATTTTTTATTCATACAAAAAATACAAAATTTACTGTTATGCAGACTACTGCATTATTGTAAAAATGGTATAAATAATATCAGTGCACTAGTGAAAGAATATTAGATTCCCTAGTTGACGTGTATTGGACGTGTGGTGTGATTTGCTTACAACTGAACATTGGTAAAAATTAAACATTTCTGCTACTTTGAGCTCAATTTCAAGGTCTTTTCATCGCGAAACTAATCAAAACCATCTCTATTTCTGTAGTATGTTTTCCATTTTATTATGTGAGACCATGAAAACGAGAATACAACGGTAAATACTATAGGAAACTACACCTCAAAGTTGTCGTTTTAATCCAAAAAAACGGTCAGAGTTTTTTCTCATTACGCACTGCGTGCTGCAGGATATTTTTTATGTGGTGCACACTGACCACACAGACCCATTCTCTGACATGTGGGCCTACCAGCTTTCTCCTGCTTGATTTGAAGTCGCTAGAATTTATGTGTATTAATACTGTACATCCGAAACACTGGCTCGTAAGACGTGTATATGTAACCAAAACGGTCAAAGGGTTAAAGACAGTGCCTTTTAATCTACTGAAAGTGGAAAATGGAGTAATAATAATGATTTACTGAAATATACATTCTCAAATTCTGCTAAAAATGAATATTCAATTATCTAGTGAATCATTATTATGATATGCTTGTTCATACAACATTTAGCCTTTAATATCAGGAATTCAACTAACTAGTGGTATAATTTGGCTCAATCATCCCAAACTTTTTAATGCAGGTCCTGAGAGCACTTGAGATACTGTATCTATATCCCTTATGTTTTGTTACCTCTGTCAATGATCTTTCCTTAAAATCCCTAAACTGTTACTTGTGGAAACACTTTGCCACCTCTGTGGTAAGTTTTTTTTTGTAATTTGTTCTGTTTCTCTAACATGTTTTGTATGCACTGAATGACTATGATTTTAATGCTTCCACATGAATGTAATAGAACAGGTAATACATTTTGTAGACCTATGTGGTAAACGGTTCCCCTTGTGGCTGGAAATCTATGTGATAAACTGTTTAAGGGAGAGGTACCATGTACAGTAGCATTTTTTCAAATATTTCAGAAACCTTTAAAGGTGAGGAAACTTCTGAAGGAACAGTAAAAATAGCCACTGGATATCTAAACACAATAGTTTGGTTATTACCGGGAAGGCAATTTCCAGTTGTTCACACTGCAATACAAGCTGGCTAGTGAAGGGAGGAAATGAGGGGTAGGAGTGAGGGAATGGGTGAGGGAAAACAAAGAGAATGAAGAAGAAAGAAGTAGAAAGAAGAAGAAAGAGGATGAGGATAAAGAAGAGGAAAAATAAGAGTAGGTTTTAGGAGGAAAAGGAGAATGGAGGTGAGTGAAGACTGGGGTGAAAATTAATAACGATAATATACAAAACAGTAGTGAGATCTGTGTAGGTATATTGGCAGCACATAAAAACATTGTGAGAATTGGGTGGTGCAAGAGGTGGGGGTGGTGTAATGCATGAGTGGGGGTGGTAATACAAGGGGTAGGGGGTGCTACTACCTTACACTGACTTAACCAATCGTTTTAGTCCACAACTACCCCTTGTTTACCTTTACCCCTGTATTACTAGTAAGTAATGCCAGTTTTTACAGTGGAATATCGGAGGAAATAGGGAAAATTAGAGTGAACTAAAAATGTTGGTTTCCTACTTTTCTCCTCTATGCAGGTGTCTTTAAGAACCTAAACTTGTATAATACAGTTGGATTTCCTATTTCTGGTTATGTACTTTTACAATCATAAAAATCTTCTTCCTGATGAATCTTACAATGAAAACAGACTTCTTGTTTATAATGATGTCTCGTATTCTCAAATTTCCATTTGTACTTCATAATGCTGAAGCTCTCTGTATCTCTTCCCTTCACACCCCTTGTCTTTAACGAATATGCAGAATTTTGATTTTACCATTACCACCCCTTTCCCCCTATGTAATCTTTTTTAAAAATGTTCATCTTTGTCTGTTGGTCACATTTAATTCTTCCAGAAACCATTTAGTCCCTAACCCCCTATTCCTCTCCATATCTGAAAGCCAGTTTCTACACATTTCCACGAACCATTCAATCTCTCTCTCTCTCTCTCTCCACAGCTCTTCTGCATAGTGCCAGACTTTGACTTACAGTAATAAATTGATCTAACATAGCACCCTCCGTGCCAAAACTCTGACAATGTAGCATGCAAATTAGGTGCTCTATACACACAGTGTATTTCTTTTCTGATTCCCCTTGAAATTCCCTGAAGACGACCAATCACACCAGCATCTCTACACGTATTTTTTTTTTTGGATGGCCCACCCTGGATTTTGACTCATCTCATCTAAGACTGTCTTAGAAAGACATGCATCACTGCATTCCTCTCCTATCTTCCCCAGATAGTCAACCCTAACCTTACAGATTTTTATATTCCTCGAGACACCATATACCTCTTCAACAATCGCTAATGTACCTTCTCCTTCTATCACTACTTCTTTTGCTTGCTGTGAAAAATGTAAAACATTGAGCATATATAGAATATATTCTCCATTTTGTGTAAAATAAATCCATAAATATTTGCAAAAGGTTTAGGTATTAACCCTTTTACTGTTCCTCACATAGATCTACATCATAGTCAAAGAGCCCTCAGTTATGCTGTGATCTGTAAAATTTTGGCCTAGACATGAGAGACTGGGTTTGTGTGGTGGATGTGCACAGTATAAAAAAAAAAAAAAAAAAAAAAAAAAAAAAAAAAAAAAAAAAAAAAAAAAAAAAATAAAAACAAAAAAAAAAAAAAAAAAAAAATCCTGCCCCCCACAGTGCAAGATGGAAATGGCTAACTTCTGACCTTGTTTGCTTTATAATAATAAACTTTGAGGCATGTTTTAATGACTGTTTCTGGTGTTCACTAGGTCTGCTTCAGTTACTGAAATGGCTTGAACCATGACCAATCATTCTTAGTTATATTTTATTAGCTGAGAAACAGGTAAAACTTAGATTTTTTTGTGTGATGATAGATATACAGTGAAAGGCAAGTATTATGTAGGAGAGGCCTGGACATGTGACTAATGAACCGAGGAAAGATTACTTTAGTGGCTGGAATGCCTACGGTGTTTATTTTGGACTTTTTTTTTTTTTTAAATTGGAATTGCTGAATTTTGTGTAAAATTGGCTAAAATTACTGGTTTCTGGACACTTTAAAGGGTAGTTCTAATAGCTGAATGGGTGATGCCTTGCACTCAATC